AGACGACGAATTCTGGCATTGCTCTTACCGTAAGATCTGCAAAAGGACAATATCGCATCCTACCAGGATCGTCGTGGTCGGGACTAACGACAATTGTTGCTCAGACTAAGAACGTAGAACATCCGCTGACGTTGAGCGTGAGTCGCAACGTAGTTTGCTTGCTGCTGCACGTTCCTCGGATGATGAGCACACCGTGGTTCGAATGCATCGCATGCAGGATAGAGCAAACATCCTTAATCCAACAACACAGCGGTCGCTTGCCGATGGTCAGTGTGCGGCCACCCGTGACGTAGTCCTTTGACAACGGCGACAAAGTATTGTGACTTAACATAACATCTACCCGAAATTGGCGAAACCTCTCGACCGACGGACATGAGAATGGCACTGTTCTGGTCACCAATGCTGATGCAACGACCAGTTGTCAAATGCTTCGACGAATTGGCATGTGATCGTACCCGTAGCTGATGCAGACGAGAGCTGTCAAGCAACACGGGAAGGGAGGACAGAATGCACCGAATGACTGTGTGGACCTCGTCCTGCTGATAGAGATGCAGCATCTCTTTCGCGTCTTTGCGCTTGTATCAAGCCATCTCGACTGATCGTAAGCCACAATTTCGGCTCAAAACATATCGGTGACATTGGTAGTTTGTATACGTTCTGCGGAGAATCTGACATGAGCCTGCGCGAACACTGGTGACACCTCAACGCAAAGAGCACATGCACATCAAGCATCTGTCATATGGATGCACAACCTCCGGACAAATGGGATTCCACTGGTTAGTTGATAGACATCGCAGCCTCAAATGGCGGTCTGTAAAGGGCTCGTCGAGTCATATCACAGGCATCGGGTGAGTGACAGCCATGCGGCTTCGATACGAGAAATGGATCATTTGAGCCGGAGGCTACAATAACCAGGGAGCCCCGACGCCGAGTGCGTCGGGTTGCGAGCAGGGCCATCCTGGAGTCCGACTGTACAATCTCCGATTGATTCTGCCCTCGGTCGCAACGCGACTCGCGCATACAGCGCTTCGAGATCAATAGCAGGCAGTTCCGATATTTTGTCGTCCTAGGGCATCAACAGGGATCCAGACATGATTCACACCAGGTTCACACGTGTCATGGGGCTAGGACACCACCAGAACTATGAGCTGCATATTCAATTCACGTACAGGGTACGCGTTGGGCGGCATGCTGTACCCCTCCAGCGCAGTCCGCATGTGAGTAACACAGGGACGCAGGTGCGGGGTACACCAGATTGTGCATCGACTGTCAGCTGTCACGGAAGCGCCCTAAGCGATCCCCTCCAAAGGCATGAGAGTCGAGTCGGTACGGTTCCTGTCGAGGCATCTCGATATCGACATAGAGCCTCGATGCTGCCCAGCTCGTTCTGGGCCCGACGACCACCCGCAACTGGTTGTTATCTCGGTCTATAGGCCGGGAGGGTGCCATATCCTGATTGGAACCGACATAGGAACCCCTCATATGACGCACTGATTACATTCGGGGTTGCAGATACACACGTGTCAGCGCCATTGGATCTTGGACACGGTCAGTCCAGGCTATTGAGGCCTTGGAAGAGGGATGGCTAGACCTTAAAGTGGCCCGTGTTCAGTCAGGTTGCATTGTATTATCTGATCGGCTCGGAGAAAGGGTGCCATGTGACGCAAGCCTCCCCGGTCGTTACTAGGATCGGAAATCAAAGTATCCAAGTACCACTCGTACGGAATTGAGAGTCCCCTAATTAGCCAGTCGACTTGGAGTCGATGATGTGGCTGGTTGAAGAGCCTCCAAAGTATGGGTACACAGCTGTGAGACTGATATGTGCCTTGAGTGGGGTTCGCGATGCGATCTTATCTTGACTGACGCCATAGATAACAGTAATGGAGGGACCCTGGCGTCATCGGTAGCGAGATGGGTTTAGCTGTGAGAACAAAGACCGTCAGCATAGGGGTTTCTTCGGCAAAACCACCCTCAAGTCGATGATCAGGAAACCGGCATCGTGTTAGCCGGTGTTGTTGTTGGTGAAGACTTTCTTACCCCCTCATCCCGACAACGCAGAGACGGTCAATGTACCTACAGTACAGTAGTGCTCGCAAGCCGCGCCCTCTACCCCGCCTGCATTCCGTGCGCTGCAGATCGACCCCTCAAACAAACCCGAGACCGCTCATCCTTTGACACTGATCCTTGATACATGCCAACTGGGGTGATAATGAAAGGGGTAACTGACATTGCACCCCAAGTCCCCAAGTCCCCAAGTCCCCAGAGTCTCGGGTCGGTGACCTGAAGGGGAATGGATGAACTTCCCCCATCAAACCCATTCTCATTGTATGAGAGCATGCTTGTGTAGAGGTGGCAAGGGCTGTTCTTGGAATGAGTTCGGTGAGAGCTGAGGGTTAGCTAATAACAATCTGATTGAATGATAACAGTCCACTTGGTTCGGGACAGGCGAGGTTGGAGACGAAACGAACCCCGCCGCCACTTGAGCCGCCCGGTGATGGCGATTAGAGAGTCTCCTCCCCGCTGCTTCCTTCTCGTGGCGGCGGCGGGGGAGGTCAGTCAGGGTCAGGTGACCGATGAGCGCCCTGGGAGGACGGGTCACGGGCGGGTGCCACCCTTTTGCCACATTTCCATCACCGGGTGGCGGTGTCATTGGCCAACACCGCAACTACATAGCTGTTGCCCGGAGTACTCCGTAGAATACTCATAGAAAGTAGCCACCAACTGATCGAGGTCCAACATAGCCAGGAGAAACCGAATGGACTCATCTCGCTGCTTGCCACTGAGATAGGATGGTTGCATACGCAGACAGTACACTGCACATTCCATCCGATCTCTAGCTACTGCTGCTGGAAGTGCTGCCTGTGTGTGGCTTTGGGCTTTGGAGAGATGTTGATATATCGAATCTGATCCATGTACGGGGGTACACGGTCGCCAACTAACTATGTATATCATGCGCAATGAGTTATGTGCATCACTGCAAGTAAGGGCTCAGACATCCAGTCCGGGTCACAAAGTACGAAGTGTTTTATTCATGTAGACTTAAGCTATTTGCATGTGAAATCCATGGTGCTGGCTGAATTGATCGCCGAGAATCTGAAGCGTCTCATCCCATTACTGAAACCGCAAAGGAAACTGGAATGTTTGTACGGAGCTGCGCGGAGTACCACGGGGAAGATCTCCCGGCTCTGGCAATCTCCAATCCCGGCGAAAGATGAGTGCGGCGGCACTGCGGATCGCACTTCCCCCTTTTCTTTGTCTAAGGAAGTCCTAGACGAGACTCAGGCCAACGTTGAATTGGCACAATGATGTAGAGTACAGTACGGAGTACAGTAAACAACTGCAGTGCGCGCAGTGCGCACCCACAAACAACCCCCCTCCGTCCTCTCACCCCACCCAACCTTACCAATCTCCGATTCCCCAATTCTCTCTCGACCCGTCCTGACAGTTTCTGAATTCTGACACCCCTCCATCTGATTAAACTATGGCCCCCCTCCCCTCCCCAACACAACACAACACAACACCCGAAACAGACCACGTACACATCTACGAGTCCTTCCGTATTTTGAAGCGGTATGTATTCCCCGAAAGAAGTCGGTATACGCACACAGCAGCCCACTGCACCCCATCCCCAAATACCTCTAGAAGCCAACCCAAGCAAAAAAGCAAATCCAATCACCTGAAACAATCACCTAGATACTCTACAGGCAAAAAACAAACAAACAAACAACCATAGCCAACCCACCCCCCACCGCAATCCACAGAACTGCACCACCATCCATCCATCTGCAAAAGCGCAGGTTAAACCCAAACCAACCTAGCGGAAATCCCCGGCGCCCAAACCAAACCAAATCGAGATCCTCATGCATTTGAGATCTTTTCTCTTGTCTCTCGACCGAGATTCGATTTTGAACCGGTCCGGTCGAGGGAAGGATAATACGATTGACAGGGCTGCTGCACTGCACTAGGTACATACACCAACTAGACTTGGGTTAGGTTTAGACTGACTACTGGAACATGGTTTGCGCTGTTGGGCCGGGGGGGGGGGAGGGAGTTTGTAGGCTAGGCTAGTAGGCTGGTAGCAGAAGGTTAAGATTTTTCTTGGTGTAGAGTATAAATCTCGGCTTTAACTGCTTCTCTCGCTTTGGGTAGAGTTAATTCGAGTCTAGACTACGTAGTCGATGATGTTGTGAAGAAGTATATTTGGCAATGCGTCGCGATCGATGGAGACACAGACGTGGGAAAAGAGGGCGCGAAGAGCACAGCCACGATGTGGCGATGCTTCTTGGGCAAGATATCTTTCTTAAGGATAACCTGGCTTGTGAAGAGTAGAGCGTTCATTACTACGAGTAGACGGGTGTAGGAAGCCGAGGTATACGGTAGTATACGTACACCGTTACTATTCGTAGGGGGATTCTTCAACGCTAAGAGGGGCATTTCTGAGGATGTCCGCGGGTTGCTGAGAAAGATTAAGATGACAAGTGGATCAAAATTGAAGAAAAGGTTCCGCGCACGAGCTAAGTTTCCTCTCTGAGCCTTGGCCTTTGGCTGACTGGGTCGCTTGATGTGCTCGGCTCGGCTGCTTGGGTGGTTGTCGTGGATGCTGATTGCTGATTGCTGTGTGGCCAAGTCTACTCCGTGGATAGTGGATTGTTGTTTACTTTGCTCTACTACTAGCGCTGAGAGTAGTTAGTAGCTTGTTTAGTCGTTGGTGCCTGCGGCCATCCTCTCCACCCTCTTTTCGTCGTCTCTTCATCGAAACAACAGTGCGGTGTAGGCAATTGTCTAGTTTCATTAATTGTCGTAGCAAAAGCAAAGCGCTAAACTCGATTGCTCAGAGAAGACAAGAGAAGCAAGCCAGGTGACCAGATTGGTACCGATCGTAGACTCTAGAGAAAGAGAAACATGCTCCATCGACTCGAAACGACCCCAAGATCCAGCTTGGACCCCTTGGCTCCCTTTTGTCCACGGTGATCAACAATTCCTCTATCCCCGTATTTACAGTTTGAAGATACATGGATTCTACGGAGTACCATCTCTCGAACGACAGTATCGTTTCTCGGACCACCGGACGGGCGAGGGGGGCTTCGAGCCCTTCGAGCCCTTCGAGCCCTTCGACGAGCGTTCGACGAGATTACTGAGTTAGGATGGATCGACGGAGATCCTCCCCGAGTCTCTCCTTAGCATCAACCTTCGACCCATGGTTCCGAGCCCTGCTGGCAGTTGGTGTCGGGAGGCGAAGAACGGGTTGCTGGGGGATTCCATCCAATTTGGAGAAGGCGAGACAGACAGAAAATGGCCCGGAGACTTTTCGGTCTGTTTTCGTTCCCTTCACCTTCACCGGGAGTTGCTGTTCGAAGTCTCCAGCCATCTTCCGTCTCGGCAAGACCCAACGAGAACTTGAGGGGTTTTCTGTGGTTGAGTGCCTTTTTAGGTTTCTACTTTAGCAATCCGGCCGGTTTGATACGATGCCGTACGTGGTTTACTCCGTCGTATCCTTCTGCAAAGCGTCGTGGAGATCATTCCCCGTGGACCGGGAGTTGATTCTCGTCCAATTCAAAATGAGTTAGGGCGATCATCGAAAATGCCTGTGCTTTCATAGGGGCAGGCAGTTGATTGATAGATCAACTGCCAGAAGGCTTGGCCTTGGCACTATTCCTTAGCGACTTGTGCTACTCAGCAGCCTAAGGGTAATGGATTGTTGGGCAGGGCGTCTTGCTGCCTCGTCACACGCGCTCTGTTTTCGATGCGCTCTAGCTGCTGATCTAGCTGCCGATTGCTGTTACATCGTCCATGCCGACTTGCGTTCCAGGTTGGCCCCGAATTTTGAGACCATCGGAAAGAACCCTTTCCAGCGCCTTCCATATAGTAGAACGAACTATAGTTCCTGGCTCATACATCCCTGCGAGGTATAGACGCCATTGTCGTCATGATTCCTGGTCCCTGCAAGTGAAGACAAGGCAATTGGCAGGACAGACTAGTTCGGATCCTGCAGTAGTGTACATGAACATCCCCAGGCTGCCCTCCTTAGTAAGAGGAGTAGTCTAGACTGCCCTGACAGGGCAACTGAATGATGATTGTGCCCAGTCTAGCAAACGACTGTCGAAGCTACGATGGCCGACAGTGCCGGGGGCTGACTGCACCTGTACGGCGGCGGATGTCTTACAGCCATGGCTGCAGGTCGCACCAACCAGCGAGCCCGATGGAAGGACTAGTGAAATCCTGACCAATTTAGACTCGCCGTAGCGGCTTCCCGAACGACTCTCAATTTCGGATACTGTTTCAGACTGCAGGACGACTCGACGAGGGAGTCGCAGACGGGTCAATTATCTCTCCGGGAGCTGTCAGGTACGCGAGTGAGCCCAGCTGACCTATACTCTGTCCGTCGTAGGGTGTACGTTGACAGGGCTTGGATCCCGTGCAGAGGCGTCGAAGACTCCAGTTTCAACGGTCGGTCAGCAAAAGATCCGCCTGCAGCGAGTCAGTGTCAGTGAAAGTGACTTGAGTGAAGCTGGAGAGCACTTCAAAGTAGGCTAAGCAGACAAGTCAAGCCCTCAACGGCCGAGGTACAACGGAAGAGCTAGCCCAAAGGGGTAATGAAGCCACCGCGACAGTCATAACTGTTACATAATCGACTCCAGGCGGGTTCCAGTTTGCCCGAAGCTGCGGCGGCGGGAACATCGCCCTGGAGAGGCGACCGTCCAGCTGGTCGGAGTCTGGTCTTTCGGGGTCTGTCCGTGCTGGTCGGAGAGCACTGGCCAATAACAACGTGGTAAGAGGATCAGGGCCAATGATCGTGTAGCGATAAGCTGATGGTCCAAGTCGCCAATCCGCAGGCGAGCTCAGGAAGATCCGCTGCATTGGGAATGGCCGTCCGCAGCAGTCATTGGGTACCGGGTTCAATTTCACCGTGCAAGAGGTGGAACCGTACCTAGTGTGATGTAGATTGATTTGGGAGTTGGGACTTCCACGGCTTCCGAAGCTCTTCATTCCATTTCATCTATTCTCTAATCCTTATCCGACCGGATTGATTGGCACGGGATGGGTAGTACGAGTTAGTCGGTCTGTCACCGCCAGATTACCCGTGTCCTTGCCGAGAAGGAAGAAGTAATAATGTGAGCCACTTGCAAGGGGAGGGCGATAGATAGTGAGGTCGGTGACGGAAAGGATGTAGCTGTAGCCATAATCACCCCGAGGTTGATTCTGGCCAGGTAGGGTATACCGAATGTACAGTATACGGTGGTTGCAGTGGTGGTCGGGTCTCGTGAACTCTTCCTAAGAGAGTAACCCTCTGCGGTCACTGCTTTCTGCTAAGGCGGTCGGTCGGTGGAGCCGAGGTTGCAGTGGGGCGACTTTCCGGCTTCTCTTCGTCCAACCAGCACCATCTCTATTCTGATTTCACCGGTAGCCGCCGAGAAATGTAGCGTTCCAGCTTGGTAGGAGCGCGGTAGAGAACTGCTCCACGGGGAGAGGGGTGGGTGGGTGTGGGTTTGAACTTTGGAGATGGAAGAAAGATGGAACCCCTTCACTTCCATCCATCATCCATCCATCTGAGGACGAGTGGGGAAACAGACAAGAGCAGAGCATGGAGATCGCCTGAAGGGGAAAGTTATCATGCTTGTCAATTCAGGGTTGATTAACTGGTTGCCACAAGACCGGGATGCATACTTGATTCTCATACCACCGGCTTGATCGATGATTCATCGTGAGAATGTGTAATTAGGGGGGAGGGGATGGGATGATTGTAAGAGGCGGTCAACAAGAGACACGGAGAAAGAGAGGAGGGGGAGGAAGGAATTAGATTCGGTTGTCATCATGACTTGACTGCTTCGGAAAAAGAAATTGACTGGTTGGCAATGGATGCATCCATCCCTGATTGAGTCCTTCTTCCAGTTCCTCAGATCCGACGGATGGGAAAGGAATGAGACCAGAGGTAGTCGTACTTTGTCACATTGATTGTGCTTAGCTGTCTACTACTCCTGCCTTGCTTGGAACCTCTATACATGTCCATGATTGTCGTCCGCGATTGATGTTAGAATCAAGGACTGATAGTCAAAGACGGATGGATATACTTAGTCTACTCAGGCTGATTGATAGAACAAGTAACAGTTGCATCCGATCAGTTCCAGGTTGACTACTCCGTAGTCTACCTACAATTCATCCGTCCCTTCATCTCAGGGCCATCCTCGGTAAAAATCCGTGCTGGTTTAGGAATAGTGTGGCTGACATGCTTCCGATCGGGAGGGAGTATAGTTAGTGGTTGTTTGGTATGTTACAACCTTTACTTAGTAGGTGATGTACATGTACAGTCCTCCTGGTATCAGGTGCAGTATCAGGGAGTAATTCTTACTTTGGGTCTTCTATCCCTCCCCCTTTCCCTACTTCCCCGGGAGGGGGTGGTCAGAGTCAGACTTGCAGATATCCTTTCCTGCAGGCGCCTGTATATTATCCGACTGGGTTTGATGCCATTGATCATTGATTGGCATGTATGTACGGAGTATGTATGAATGTACTCGAAGTATGGTCAGTCCGATGCGGATGATGAATAGGGTAATTCTGACGGGAAAGCATCGCCTCCAACGGCTCCACCGGCTGCTGTTTCTTCGGGACTTTCTAGCCTCAACCTTTTATCGAGTAAAAAGCCACCAAAAAGATGCTGATCCCTCCCTCCCTCAGGGCTCCCCTCTTTCTGCTCTTTGCTTCCCCAATGGTAATCTCGCCGCCGACTTTCGTTTAGCTTACCCGCCTGTTGAATTGATTTTATTTTATTTGATTTTATTTTAATTTATTCTCTAAATGGCCTTTATGTTTTCTTGGTAAATTAAATTATTTTGGTAACTTCCACCCGCTAGCGTGCATCCCCACAAGGCAGGCATGGCAAAAGGTTAGACTAACGAGAGAGAGAGAGAGACAGACCAGAGAGACACAGCAAGAAGACAGTGCAAGAGAGCAGTCGCAGTCCGTCCGTCTGTCCAAACAGAGCCACCCTAATTATTAAATTAATTTCCCATCTCCAACCCGCAGAATACAAAACACCCAGAACTATATTAGTATCCGGGTTATCCCCCCCCCTCTCGCTCTCCGGATTTGAAGTGTTACTTCCCAACTGCACTGGTGATAGTGCTGGATACATAATACCAATACTACCTCCTTCCAAATTTATTTGATCAACCTGATCTCTGGTTACTACACTTCTATACCACCACTACCAACATCAACCAATTCTATCCACAACCGGTCTCGTCTTAGCATCTGTCTATCAGCGCTTATCCTCAGATCGCCTTCGTCATAGCGAACCTTATCAACCCGCGTCTCCTGCTTGCCACTGCGATGCTTCTTTGGTTCCAGCCAGCTTCTCTGTCGAAAACCGTGTGCTCGATCTAAACTCACTACGAACCCTTAACATCACTTAACATCATCATCTGGATCATCTCCCGTCCTTGTCGTCTCACTCGCACGAAACCGTCAAGATCTCCTTCATACTTAATTACCTCCCATCCTTTCGATTCTTCATACACTTTGAAGCGACTATATTTTTTTTTTCTTTACTGTCCTCATCTTCATCTCGTGTATTTTCTCTCCTCTCCACCGCCTTCTGTCATATCAACCTCGTCAATCTTAATCACAATTCCGACCTTGTGGTGATATCATAATCTCCCCGAAATGGCCACCCACGTTGTTACCGCCACTACCACTTCTCCCGTTCTTGCGGGTAACCAAATCTCCCTCTACGGCCAACCCACCCCTATCAGCTCCGCCGATACCACCGCCAACAACTCGCCTGCCTCGCCTCAGCAGCAGTACCTTCCACTCCATAGCAAGCAGCTTCGTCCATTGAAGGGTCCCCTTTATGTTCCTGCTGCTTTGCGTCCCAACAACGACCACGCTACTCAGAAAGCCTCCCCGCCTTCTCCTCCTCGCAGTGTCCACGGCTCTTTGGACAGCCTGACTGAAGGCGAAATCGGCGTCCCGGCTACTCGTCGCTCCACCATGGAAAGCTACAGCAGTGGATCGACTGTCAGCAAGCTGGCTGAGGATGAGTGGATGAAGAAAGAAGACCTTGGCGAGGTGACCGGCCAGCCTACTCGTGAACACTGGAAAGTGAGTATCTCTTTCCCCCTTTTTTGCCTGGGTGGGCGATCGGGTGTTTTATAAAGTCACTATGGCGTGCCTGCGTCGCACTGTCGCGCAAGGCGTGCCATTGCGAATCATCGCGTGATCGACATGACGCCATCGCACCCCTGCATCATCCGCTCGAACTCAAGCTAACATCAATGTTCCCTCAGGCCGACTCTGCTTCTCCCAACTGCGATTCGCCTACCTGTCGCTCTTCCTTCGGCATCTTCCTGCGTCGCCACCACTGCCGCCATTGCGGCCATGTCTTCTGCTCCTCCCACACCCCCTATGTCGTCCCTCTGGATCAGAATGCCCGCTTCCACCCCGAGGGTGTCCCGTCGCGTGCCTGCGATCTCTGCTGGAGCGCCTATTCGCGCTGGGAGGAGTCGCGCACTGAGCGCCTCAACAAGATCCAGACCCAGCTCGATGCGCAGACCGGTACCGTTGGCGAAGCCGACCGCGCTGTCTCCCTGGCCACCAAGCCCTCGCCGGTCGAGAGCCTCAAGGCCGCTGCTCTGAACGGTGTCCCTGGACAATCCACCGAGATCGCTGCCAGCGTCCCTCGCGGCTGGAACTGGAGCACTTTCTGAAACGACTACGACTTCACGCATTAACGAACATGCCCATACACGAGGGGTCGTGTCGGCTTCCACAATGATCCATGCTGACCGACGCCCGCTTCGCTTCACTTCACTTCGTACATACCTGTTTTAGAACATACCTTTGCTCTGCTGTTCTCTTCTTTTTCGGATCCATTTTTCGGTGTTACTGTGCGGAGTTTCGGAAGACCTTTTGTTGCTTTGCTGTCTTGTGGTGTTATCTTTCTTTCTAATGATCGTCAAAGAGGCGGAGGTGTTTTGTCTTCTGCTTGTCTCCTTATGCTTAGGATACCCCGTCATGTTGCTACGAGCGGCGATCTTTTTTTTTTTACTTTCAAGTGCGGTGTTTATCAACCCGACCTTCCAATACAACGAGTTAGATCTCACCAGAATGAACAAAATCCAAGAAGACCCTTCTCCTCTAGACTACCCTTGTAGTTTCTAGCCTTCTCTATCGTAACCTTCTCTGTACACACCACACACCACACCCTCTATATAAAAAGCCTTCGGACTCTATTCCAAAACAAGCCTCCTCCACATCCCCAAATGCTCAATCTCATTCTCATCCCACCGCCCCATCCCCTCGTCCGTCACAAACCCACACCGCTCATACATCTTCTCCACCTGCGTCTGCGCATGCACCAACACCAACCCATTCCAAACGGGGCGCGCAACCACCTCCCCCCCATCTTTCTCTGCGGAAGCTGTGGCGAAAGCAAAAGCCACCGCAGCCTCATCAATCTCCCGCGCATGCTCCCGCGCCCACGCCAACGCCGTCTCCACCACCGCCCGTCCCAGCCCATACCCCCTATACTCGCGCAGCACCGCCACCCGCGTCAGCTTGATGTAGGGTTCTTGTTCTTGGTCTTGTTCCGCCGCCTGCTCTGCCCCACTCTCAGCCCCGTTGGGATTGGGACTGTGATTGGGATGGTGACTGTGAACATTCGGCGGCGGCACGAGCCGGATCGTCGCGACGGGGGTGCGGCTGCCTTCCTTTGCGTCTGGGGGAGCAGATTCTCGGTCCGTGGCGCCTTCTGTCCCGGTAGACGGTGCATCTGGGGAGTGGTACACCACCCAATGCCAGCTGCGGCCGTCGTCGGCGTCGATCTCCTCCTCGGCGGAGCAGTGTTGTTCGTCGATGAAGACGGTTTGGCGGATGGTGAGGGCGTCGGTTAGGAGTGGGGGGTTGGTGGGTGGGTTTGGGGTGGTCGGGGTCGGGAGGGTGAATTTTGGGGGAGTTGTTGGGTTTGAGGCGGGGGAGGGGGGCGCGAGGAGGTGCGTTGTGAAGGTCATTGTTTTTTTTTTGTCGTTTTGTTTGGGTCTGGGTTTGAGGGTTGGAGGGGGTGGGGTGGTGTGCAGGAGTCTGGTGGTTGGGAGTCGAGGGTCGAGGGTCGAGGGTCGAGGGATTCTGGAGGGTGTTAGGATTTCTTTTTGCGGGGTTTAAGGGTTAAGGAGGGAGGTGAGGGTTGCGTACCTGCTGGGCTAACAAGGTGAAAGGGGAATATGTACAGGTGAGGTTGTTGAGGCTGGAGGAGGGTGAGGTGAGTCAGTGCTGATTTGATCGGGGAAATTGCCTGCAAACTGATAAGTCGGATGCAGGTGCGGAGATGCGGAGCGGAGGTGATAGTGAGTGAGTGATAAGGGCACTCCGGATTTTGGGTTATGGCTGGTTGGTTGGTTGGGGTTCTCCCTGGACTTCTTTCGTTTATGTTGTTTCGTCTTGTTGATTGCATCCGGTGTCATTGAATCTCCTGGGAAGAGAAAAAAAAAATAAAATAAAATAACGGATGGTCAGGTCCATATGGTAAAGTATGAACAACATGCGCAACGACAACAACTGCGGAGTCCAGTATACATCCCAAACAAACAGTGCAAACACCAAAATTTATCCAGCATCGCTCTTCTCATCCCAACCCTCCCCTCCCTCTTGCGATATACATATCTTGAATTCCTCCCCCGAGCAAAGAGATGTCCCTCTACTACGACGCGGTGGGCATCCTCACCGCCCCCGCCACCGGCGGCTCCTTCAAATCGCGCCTCTACAACGCCCGCTCCCTCAAGGCCTCGCCCGCGCAGATCTACGCCCTGATCATCGAAGCCTCGAAATGGGATCTCCTCCTCAAGGAGGTTATCGAGAAGGCGGGGATCTTGAAGTTGGAACCTAAGGTAGGACGCTTGCTTGCTACAAATCAATTCGCGAATCAACCGCGCGAGCCTTCCCGGACATGAGGTCCTGCGACCGTTTGCAAGCGTATACTGACGTTACTCCTGCCAGCTAACCCCCCTCCTTGCCCTCCTCCTCGTCCACGACCACCTGCTCGCCAAATCCGGCATCGCCGCCAAAGCCACCCACCCGCTGCGCCAAGCGATCGAGCGCCACAAGACCCGACTGCGCGCGGAGTTCACGAAAGCCCGCGTACGGCGCGGATGCGCCACGCTCGACGCCCTGCGCGAGGCCATCCGGTGCGAGAAGGTCGTCGCCGCCGGCGGCGACCCCACTATCGCGGCTGCGACCGCCGTCTACCCGCGCTGGGTGCGGGTTAACAACGTGCGGACGACGCTGGCCGAGCAACTGGCCACCACGTTCAAGGGGTATGAGGTTGTGGGGTCACTGGTGGAGCTTGGGGGGGCGGTGTCGAAGAAGGCGGCGCAGCACGCCCCCAGAAAGATCTATTTGGATCAGCATGTCCCGGATCTGTTGGCCGTGGCGCAGGGGGTGGATCTGACGGTCACCCCGGCGTATAAGCGCGGGGAGATCATTCTGCAGGATAAGGCGTCGTGTTTCCCGGCATACCTGCTGGTCGGGGATGGGAGGTGGGAGGGCGGGGAGTTGCTGGATGGGTGTGCCGCCCCGGGGAATAAGACTACGCATATGGCTTCGTTGCTTTGCAAGGGTCTTGGAGAAGGGCGGAGGGGGAGGAAGCGGGTTTGGTCCATGGATCAGTCGCAGGTCCGGGCGAAGACGCTTCAGAAGATGGTCGCGACCGCGGGCGCGGATGCCCTGGTGACTGTGTTGCCCGGGCAGGATTTTCTGGCGCTGGATCCGCAGGAGGACCGCTTTGACGGTGTTACGGGGTTGTTGCTGGATCCGAGTTGTTCGGGCAGTGGGATTCTCGGGAGAGATGATGTGCCGACGCTGATTTTGCCGGAGGTTGGTGGGAATGATGGGAGGAATGAGAGGCAGCAGGGCAAAAAGAGGAAGCGGAGACAGGAGGATGATGAGGGTAGGGAAGAGAGGAAACTCCCCGATGCGGAGGAGGAGGCCGCGCTGGCGGAGGATGAGAACGATCTGCCTGCTGGGTATATGGGCCCCGAGCGATTGCAGAAGCTCTCCAACCTGCAGACGAGGATCGTCGAGCATGCCTTGCACTTCCCGGCGGCGACGAGGGTCTCGTACAGTACGTGCTCCGTGCATATGGTGGAGAACGAGGCGGTCGTGGCCAGGATTCTGGCGTCGGATGTGGCCAAGACGCGCGGGTGGAGGATCATGCGGAGGGACGAGCAGCCGGAGGGCATGAGGAAGTGGAAGCATCGCGGGGTGCGCAGTGACAAGCCGGTTGGAGGCGGTGCTGCCCAAGTCGAGGTGGGCGATCTCGGTCTCTCGGATGAGGTGCTGGAGGGGTGTCTGCGCTGTTGGCCTGGCGATGATGAAGGCACCGGTGGCTTCTTCATTGCTGGGTTTGTGCGCGATGGAGATGACGAGGCCGTGGCTGAGGGTAACAGCGCCAATGGCCATGTCGAGGACGATCCAGTGCATCAAGACAGTGAGACACAGGATTCCGACGAGTCGGGTTCAGATGACGAGGCTCAAGATGATGAAAACGAAGACGACAGCGAGGATGAATGGGCCGGGTTCTCTGATTAGATGTATATAAGAGCTCTAACTACCTCATCCTCATCCAGATATGTACAGTGCATATAACCATAGTACCTCATGCAATCCCCGAAGACCCCAGGAATGGTCGACTCCGATTGCGCACGGTCTCCTGGGTATATACATCCAACTGGACCGCCCTGAGAAGAAAGTCCAGACTGCCCTGATTCACGCTGGGCCGCACACAGATCCGCCATTGGCCGTTGCGCACCACCCAAACCCGGCTGTTGGCGGGTTCCTCCACGCGTCTCCGCTTGTTCGGGGACTCCTGCGACGAACTGTCTGCGCCCGGGGTCGAGTAACCCACGACTTCCCGGTAGCTCGTCTGTTCCCCGTCCACCGTCAGACTCGTATCGGGGCCCGTCACGAACCAGATCTGCTCGTCCTTGATCGCGACATCGCCCAGCTCCGCGAGCTTCTTGCTCGCCACGATCTGCAGCAGACTCGTCACCCGGGACTTGGTGAGGTTCAGGAAGGTCGGGTGTTTGGTGGTGAGGTCGAGGATGGTGCTCTCGTCGCCGATCTCGACGATCAGGTCGTACTTCTTCTCGTCGAGGAATGGCCGCGAGTACCGCACCCAGCTGCTGTCGCAGGCGTTGGCGCCCTGTTCGAGGTGGACCCCGGACCGGCGCACGTCCTCGAGCCGGATGATGATCTCGTCGCGCCCCAGGATCGGGTTGAAGCTGATGTGGTGGGGGATGATCTTCTGCTCCAGGCCGCGCAAGTGGAAGTAGCGACAGTCCCGCAGGAGCTCCGCGCGGTGCTCCTCGTTTCGGATCCGCAGGGGGTAGCCGCGGAGCAGGTGGAGAAGCTGCGCGAAGACTTCCCCGGAGCGATTTGGTACGCTGGGGGGTGTGATGGCCGGGGGCCGGAGGAGACCGTGACGCTCGAGGCCTGGGAACACTTCGACGGGCGAAGCGAAGAAGGCGGCGAACCCCAATGTGAAGAAATTCGGCGAGTCGCCTGGACCGGAGAAGATGTCGCGCGGGATCTGGAAGTTGCGATCGCCGATCTGGATGAAGATTTGCGACTCGAATAGCTGGGATATTAAGCGTGGTACTACGACCGTTAGCATGTGGATATCTCCAAAACCGGGAGTGGGCCGACGCACAGCTGTAGAATTGGGCATCGGCGAAGAACTTGACGAATTGGGACCCGTCTGTGGGCTGAATGTGGTATCCTAACCTCCTCAAACCGATTAACATGCGTACGGTCACGACGACACAGGATTATCAGCCCTACCCTGCAGATGCTTGGCGATCTCTTTAAACGTGGTCGGATCGCGATCGATGTACAGGGTGCGGATGTTGGGATTGTCGCCGTTTTGGCGGATTTGCTCCTCGAAGAACTGGGAGAAGTAGGACGGAGCTTCGGAAGGTTAGATGTGTTCGTGAGTTGGGAAATATCTGGCAGACTGACCATCAGACGCAATGGATGCCCCCGACAGACGAAATAGCTCCGTCCCGATCTGGATGGAGAAGACCCTCTCGGGCGGGAGGTTGGATTTGGGACTGCGCCGCATCGACGGGCTGATCATCGCCCGCCCAGAGTCGCTCGACATTGTAGCTTGTGGTTATTGAATGGGCTGAGCTTCCAAAGAGCTGTAGGTAAACCGGAGAATTTTGCGAGGGATGATCGTTGGACGCGATAAGGGACCTGGTCATCGGCGGGGATGGGTAGGTTGGCACGAACTGCGATTGTCGGGTTCGGGCGATTGCGCAAAACGGGTCGCACAGTGCAGCAGAAACGCAAGAAAGGTCAAAGTCCTGGAGGAATGGAGAGAGCTTGTGTTGGCTCGCAGGATCACATCATGGCTAGTGGAACATTGGCAGGTGAGATGCTAATCGCATGGCATTTCAGGTGAGATTGCGATCGCAGACAAACAGTGCAAACCGCGTGGACCGAGGGTGGGGCGGACGATGCCCCATGCAGCTTAGTTCAAGTCTACCTACCATAATTTGAAGTCATTATCCGCGGGGAAGACATGCGCTCCCTTTCGATATACTGCCATCACTGATATAAATCTCTGTGGAAAGGTCAGCAAGCATACCTAGTACAAGATGAAATGCTCGCAGAACTGCTGGCTCGTCGGCATCTACCGTCCTTCAGCAATAGGAATTAGAATTCTAGATGCTCTTACCTCTCGGAGCTGCTGAGACTTGTGTCAAATTGATCAGCCGAACTGATTAAGGTTAGATGGGCGACAGCTCAAGTACCTACTATGTACTCCGTACTAGTAGTAATCTATGTGCTAGTGTGAGGTAGTCACGGGCTCGGGAACTCCAGTGGTTCATCCGGAGAATAAACCACTCATCCATCATGGTTCACATTCTTTCGAATCTCACCCCGCGGGCTCCTCTATTTTGACTTGACAAGCTCAGTCTCAACCATGGCACACATACGAACTCGGACTTTTGTTCACTCGTACTGCAAACCCCCGAACTTCCCATCCAGCCTCAGCCGAGGTCCCGCGGATTCGCGCGGGGTGGATGGATCTGCCTTAAACCTCACCCGTCCATAGCGCAACGCTCTGATAGACCTCCTTCGCGGCATCCAGCTCAATTCACGTGGGTTTATTGAGTTAACTCGGCTATACCAGTTTCCCCGCATCGAAAAGCGCCAGAGTTTCATTCTCACATCGTTAGTATGGGTCCGCATGTCGATCGTACAGAGCCGACCCACTCGCTCCCACCACTCGCTCGAGATTGTCGGCCCATTTTCCAGCTCTGGCTCCCCGACTTAATTATGGAGCCTTGCCGTTGCTCTTAAGAGAAGCTCTTATTAGTACTCCGTACCTGGACCTCGGACGCCTCGACCTCGGACGCCGTGGACATTTACAATTCCACTCTCTTTGATAAAGCCCCTCTTCCTTCCGCCTCGTTCCTACTCCTTTGGTGTCACTTGCCGTTTCCAACGTTGCCAGCGAAGGAAGCCACGCTGAGGGCCAGAAGCCTGAAATCCCAGGGTCTCAAGTTCTCGTCCTCAAGGGTCCTGACTTCTACTCACCTCACCACCTCACACCTCGTGTGTTCTTTCATCGCCATCTGACTATCCCTACAACTCATCGTTATTCCTCTACCGTTATCCGTATTAACACACGACTAACGCACCACAATCACCATGGCTGCGGAGAACTCGGAGCAACGTGTCCCCCTGGATGTTGCCCTTCCCCTTATACCCACTCGAGCGGTCTTCACCTCGACACAATGGAGGACTCTTCTGGCTCTAGCTGACACCGTGATTCCGTCCATCCGCTCCCCCGTCGCATACAAGTCCAAGGCAACCAAGATTGTCACATCTCAAGAGATGGAACGAGCTCGTACAACCCTAACCTCCAAGATTCCTGGCCCCGATGCGGCTACAATTGCCGGTCAGTATCTACGGGAGTCTGCCTCCTCGAATAACACGTTTCGTGAGGGACTGCAACGTCTATTCTCGGTCTATGTCCACGACGAGGGATTGAACGGCATTAAGTTCATTCTGAATGCTCTAAAGTATGTATCATCGGCATCCAAAAGGCACGTGAGCTAACACGTTCCACAGTACACGGCCTGGCTCCCTCCTCCTGACAGGGTCAGTGATCCTGATTCGAGACCAGCCTGTTGACGTGCGTGAAGAGATCTTCCGCAGCTGGGAGACCTCCCGGATCAAACCACTTCGAGCTATCTACCGGGCTCTATCCACCATCTTCAAGAAGACTTGGATTACATTTAGCCCAACGCTCAACCTAGCCATCGGTTTTCCTCGTGTGCCAGTCTATGGGAAACCTGTGGATGGCTTCAAGTATGAATTCTTGCAGTTCCCTCCCAGTGAGGATCTTGAAATCATCGAAACAGACGTTGTCATTGTCGGGAGTGGCTGTGGTGGGAGTGTCGCGGCCAAGAATCTCACCGAGGCGGGCTACAAGGTGATTGTTGTGGACAAGTCGTATTACTACTCGTCTGACCACTTTCCAATGGCCGCAAACGAGGGCTTCATCAGCATGTTTGAGGGAGGAGGCGGTGTCGTCACCGACGATGGATGTACCGCCATTCTGGCAGGCTCCACCTGGGGTGGCGGTGGCACAGTCAACTGGTCCGCTGCTTTGCAGACACAGGGATACGTACGGGAGGAGTGGGCAAACAGTGGGCTTCCGTTCTTCACCAGTCAAGAATACCAGAAGTGCTTGGATCGTGTCTGCGACCGGATGGGTGTGGGGAGTGAGCATACCGAACACAACAAAGCCAATCGTCTCATCCTGGAAGGGGCTCGCCGACTGGGCTATTCTGCCAAAGCGGTGCCCCAGAACACAGGTCATGGCCCGCACTACTGTGGCTACTGCACTCTGGGCTGTCACACGTGTGGGAAGAAAGGTCCTATGGAGACGTTCCTCGCCGACGCCGCTCGGGGAGGGGCAATGTTCATCGAAGGATTCCGCGCGGACAAGGTTCTGTTCGAGGAGAAGCCATATGGAACAGTGGCTTCGGGCGTGGAGGGAACATGGACCTCAAGGGATTCGTACCTGGGTGTGTCGGGTGTGGATGCGGTGAAGCGCAAGGTGATCATCAATGCAAAACGCGTGGTGGTGTCCTGTGGTTCCTTGCAAAGCCCTCTGCTTCTCAAGCGGAGTGGACTGAAGAACTCACAGATCGGTCGCAACCTTCACCTTCATCCAGGTATGTTATTACTTCATGAGCCTTCTAAGATGGCTGGCTAACTTTGTACTTCCAGTGATTGTTGCTGGTGCCGTCCTCAATGAAGAGGTTCGACCTTGGGAAGGATCGGCACTGACTACTGTCGTCAATGAATTCGAGAACCTCGATCGAAAAGGCTATGGTGTCAAGATTGAGGCTCTGTCCATGCTGCCTTCCGCCTACCTTCCCCTCTTCCCATGGCGTGGTGGACTGGACTATAAGATGTGGGTGCTTAACCTGCCACGAACGGTGGGGTTCATCACACTCACCCGGGACCGAGATGGTGGACGAGTGTACCCAGATCCGGTTGATGGGAGATGTCGCATTGACTATACGGTGTCTGCCTATGACCGTAAGCATATGCTTGAGGCACTTGCTGGTACTGCCAAGATTGCTTTCGTTGCTGGCGCTAAGGAATTTCATACGACCTGGCGAGAGCTGACCCCATACATCCGGCCTGAGATGACACCTTCTGAAGCTGCGGAAGGCACTAACAACGCGTCCTTCCAAGCGTGGCTTGCTGATATGCGTGCTCATAAGGTACCATTCGAGCCCGAGCGGACACAGTTTGCCAGCGCCCACCAGATGGGAACTTGTCGGATGGGCGCCAGTCCCAAGTCCAGTGTGGTCGACCCGGACTGTCAAGTGTGGGAGACTCAGGGCTTGTATGTCGTGGATGCATCAGTGTTTCCCAGTGCCAGCGGTGTCAACCCCATGATCACTAATATGGCGATCGCTGACTGGGCTAGTCGCAACATCGCCAAATCACTGGGAGACAGCCGTGAGAGGCACCCGATGGCCCGGTTGTAGCTGAAGTGACCCTGTTATATGAGCCTGGTTTGCGGATTAGCGTGTGTGTTCCTGGGGCTGGACCCTGCTTTATTCTTATGTTCATGTTTAACCACCGTTGCATGAAAGGTAAAGCTCAGTGTTGACTTGCAAAACTATTCTAAGCTGCGTGGTGGTGTCCTAGAATTTCATGTGCATGTTATGAATTCAAAGTTCTTCCTCTTCGCATAGTCAATCTCTTGCTAGCGCGAGGCCTATCCTGTAAGCTACTAGTAGTACTTAGGATGCTTAAGTGTGCAGGAAGGGAGGGGAAGCCGGACGAAGATGCTAATACCACGGAGACTAATAGTGGTAAGTTGAATTGCAGTTGAGGGCTCCAGTGAAAGTGTTCAAGAGACGGGGAGGCGAACATCTATTGATGATCAGTGTGCAGGCTATGACAAGGCAACACCCACCTCATCTCTCCACTTCACCCTCTCATCTTCACACATCCACCTTCTTTTATACGACCTTCTTTCTTCTTTACCTCTACAAGTACAGCTATGCCCTATCAGCAAATGCCTGCGTCCTACCCAGGAGACACCCTCGCGATGATTACATCGACGAATGACTTTGTGTTTGCCGACTCTGCGTATGAGTCTGATTCAGCGTCCCAGGATTCGAACAAGCATACTCGCGGGGCAACGCGTGCTCGATTTCACCCTGGCAGATCCACCTGGACTGGCTGTCCCTGGTGGCTGTTGGCTTGCATCGTCTCGGTGCTGACTTCTCTACTCTGGCTGCTCTTGTGCAAGAATCACCTCACTATTCCGAATTGGTAGGACTATCTCTCTGTCCGTAGAAAAGTGGCTCACGCGTCATGAAAGCAATAGCCCGCGCTCCCAGATCGTTCTCAACCGCGAGACAACCCGAAAAATCCTGGCCCCTGTTTTTCTCTTGCTTGCAGCCTCGCAGGCGGGCCAGGGAGAGTTTCTGACTGGCCGGGTGACTGTGTGTGAAGAATTCGGCGTCGACCTTGCTCGGATCCTGAACGATTACAATCAGCTGCCTATTCCGCTGGACACGACGCATCAACTATGTGTGCAGCTCGACGCAGTTCTACGGACGCTTGGCCGTAGCAGGAACAAGTGAGTAGCATCCATCCTCTATCTCCAGAGCACAGCATCCCCTAACCTCTTTTGGTCATGTAGAATCGCCTACACCCTGGCCACCGCCATCCTCGTCAAATCCACCTGCTCCCTCCTGCACCTGGACCACTGCTGGGACATCGCCGGCCTCCTGAGCTCGATCGTGGCCATCCTCCTCGCCGCGGCAGCCGACTACTCCGCGATGGACGAGGCTGCCACCGCCACCGAGCTTATGGACATGCATCCCGCCACATACAAAGACATCATGGCCCACGCGCTCCGAGACCGCGGTCTGGGATATTCGTCTATCCTCCCGGTGCCGGTACCTTGCAACACCAAGGGCGGCAGCGGAGTCCTCAGCGCGGAGGACAAGCTCGAGGAATTCGTGATCCAGGACTTCGTCGCGTCGAGCACCACCGCGCCGCGGGATGCCCATGTCACCTGGTACCGCAACAACCGGACGGTGGTGCGGCTGCTGCCGCCGGGCCAGGATACCCGGAATACCTCGGGCGAGGCCCTGGCGTTACGGTTCTTCGACGGTGTCGGGTATCTCGTGTCGTTTGGGACGGGGTATCTGGCGGAGTTTAGTATGGAGGATGAGGACGAGATGGCCGGGGGGATTGTGCGGGCGTGGGAGGAGGGGATGATGGGGGTGGAGGGGATGGTGCTGGGGGTGAGCTCGATTGAGAAGGGGGTGGAGTATGTGAGTTTGTATGTGGATGTTACTGCTGAGGAGGGGAGGGAGGAAGCGGTGGAGATTAAGGGGGAGTTGGACGGGTTTCTGTAGCTGTTTACGCCTGTAGGGTAGGTATGTGTGCAGTGTGCAGTGTGCAGTGTGCCGTGTGCAGTGCATGTAGCTGGGTATCTAACTTGAAATCAACAACAGACATTTCTCGCCTCACTGGATCTCAACCCCCATTCCCCCCCCGGTTCCTGACGGGAGACAGACAAACACCCCTCACACCCCAGATCCCGTCCCAAGCGCATCCCAATGCCCTGCTCCTCCTCCCACACCGGCAGCTTTGGGGGATGCCCGGGGCCCCTGCTCCCCCTCCCATTCCCAGCTGCCGCCGGTTGCGAGCGAGGAACCACGCGCCGCAACCCCCGACACCGCCCACAGAACACCTGCCATTCCCCCTGCACGCGCACCAGATCCCCATACCCGTACCGCGCCTCGCCTCGCGGGCTGCCTGCGGGCCCCGCTACTAGACCTCCCCCGTTCCCCGGGACCCCTTCCCTCTCCTCTCCGAGTACATGTCGCGGAAGCACCCCACACGCCAAACAGAACCGCTTCGCGCGCTCCCGCGCCGCCCCGAACCGGCCCCGGCCGCGCCGCACCATCCGGTCCGCGAAGTGCGTCGCCCGCCGCAGCCGCAGACAGTACCGGCAGGCGTAGAGGTCGTGGGCGATGGCCAGGGGGTCGAGCTCGGCGGCGAGTAAGTCGGCGTGCGTGGGGCGCGGGAGGAGGGTGTGGAAGTAGTGGTTTGTTTGGGCGAGGTGCGCGCGGGACAGGTCGGGGGGTTGTGGGAGGTGTGTGGCAATGAGGAGGTGGAGTTCCGGAGGGAGGTTTGCTAGGGGGGATGGGTTTGGGGAAGTTTGGTGGGGGTTCATGGGGTGGGTTTGGTGTGTTGTTGGAATGGGTTCGATTATGGTGGTGGTGGTGTTTGGGGTGGTTGGTTTGGATTGATGTCATTGCTTTTGGGTGGGGGTGAGGGGAAGGGGAACTTTGACACGTGCTTGGCTTTTGCTGCTTTTGTACTTAACTATACCTAGGTGTCTGTTTGAAGAGGTTCGACGGTGCTGGAGGTGGTAATTCGCTTTCATTAGGTACAGTACTACAGTACTAGGTAGTGTCGACGAGATCATACTAGGCTACTGTGCAACGCAACTAGTCCTGTCGCGCCGGATCCTGCTCCGGCGCATTCCGCAAATACTCATCGATCTCCGCCATCACCTCCGGCGTCAACCGCGGCAGCAGCTTCAGACTCTCCACGTTGTCCACGATCTGTTCCGGCCGCGACGCGCCCGTGATCACCGACGAGACGTTCTCGTTCTTCAGGCACCACGCCAGCGCCAGCTGCGACATTTTCACGCCCAGCTTATCCGCCAAGCCCTGCAGCCCCTGCACCGTCTTGATCGTGCCCGCCCACTCGTTCTCCCACTCGCTGCGCACGTAGTTGGCGTACTTGTCGTTGCTCTCGGCGAACCGCGACCCCGGCGGCGGCTGCGTCGTGGCGTCGTTGTACTTGCCGCTCAGCAACCCCATCTTCAGCGGCGAGAACACGGTCAACCCGATCCCGCAGCGCGCGTACAGCCGCTGGAACTGGCCCTCAACCTTCTGGCGCGTCAGCATGTTGTACTGCGGCTGCTCGACGACGGGCGCGATCAAGCCCAGCGCCCGCGCGATCCCGCACGCCTCGCTGATCTCGTCCGCCGACCACTCCGACGTGCCCCAGTAGAACGCCCACCCCTGCTCGATCACGTGGTTGAACGCCCGCACCGTCTCCTCCATCGGCGTCAGCCGGTCCGGCCGGTGCGCGTAGATGATGTCCACGTACTCCAGCTGCAGCCGCTCCAGCGAGGCCCGCGTGCCCTCCACGATGTGCTTCCGCGACAGGCCGTGGTTGTTGATCAGGATTTCGCCGTTGGCGAGGCCCCAGTTGAGCTGCAACAGGCCACTGGAAGTTAGCGGTTTATTTGTTGCTGGTTTTTGTTTGCTGTAAGGGGAATGAGACGGAGCGGACGGACCTTGGTGCTGATGACGAGATCGCTGCGCTTCCAGCCGAACTTCTTGATCGCTTGGCCCATGATAATCTCGGACTGGCCGCCCGCGTAGCTGTGGTTGATTAGCTCGCGTCGTGTAATCTGCAGTGAGGAGGGAACGGCTACCTCTCCGCGGTGTCGAAGAAATTGATTCCGCAATCGTAGGCTTGCTTCATGCACTGGAAGGTGATTTCTGTGCAGCCCTTGTTAGTTCCGCTGTCTGGCACGGACATCCAATCCAAGAAGTAGTACCGTTATCCACATGACCTCCGAAACTGCCAACAAGCCAGAAGGATTAATAAGTGACCATCTCTATTTAAAGAGTCATAGGCATGCAACAACTCACGTCAACCATCCTCCCAATCCCAGCGCAGAAACATGCAGGCCGGAATTGCCTACCCGGCGGTAGAGCATGTCTTGGTTTTTATTCGGCCAGGCCATAGTGTACTTTCCTAACCAAAGTCTCGTTGAGAAAGAGAATTGTGAAACTCAGTAGGCATTACCCCCGCGCGAGGGGGGCTGCGGTACCAATTTATCTGTACGACCGCGACGGGCCATTGCGTGCGCTGGAACATCGCGGGGGTGTCGGCCATTGGCCTGTCGATAGTTGCACAGTTGCAGCGGTGGAGCCTTCGAGTCCAATCACACTGACATATGGCCAGGACAGCATGAGGCGCAAGAGACGTCGGAGGTTTTCTCGGAGGGTCTCGTTGTTTAGTTTTTTGGGGGGGGGGGGGGGGGAAGAGAGTTCGGGACCCACCTGGGTTAAGTGTGGAATGGCCCAGACGGGCTTAGTTTATGTCGGTGTCTGTCTTTGCCTATGCGTGGTACTGTTGTATATAAGCTCGCTGTGGGAGCTTCAGTTTGACTTTTTGGCTTTACATCGCTTGCTACAGGTAACTATACGTTTTAGATTTCTCCTCTTCGATCGAAAAAGAGCTTACGCGGTTCATGAATATCTGTCACTCCGAGGGATCACGCAGAGACCCGTGCTAACAACAAACATACCCTACAATCACGAATCCAGACGTGCATGACGGTCTTGGAAATTGCAGTATGGTCGAAGGAAACCGCATGACAGACAGAATGGGTGATTGTTGCTCTTGCAACTTCGTGACTCGATGAATTGGTCCCCTTGACAGGGAAATACCATAAGAAAGATAATGACACCAATGCGTTTCACTGTCAAATTCTGATGCACATCATTCTCCTGGTGGGAGTTGTATATAATGCCGCTGGTTCGCCGGTGGTTTTGAGATCTCTGACACTTCTTCAGTCTGGGCCAGCTTGTCAGAAGGCGCCTTACTTGGCTGGCCTTCAAGCTCGAAGGTAGGGGCTAGGCGTGTGGATACCCCGCGGGATAGTCTCTGGGGCTTGTTGGGGACGAATCGATGGAGTAGCAGCGGGCATTCATGATCGTAGATTGATCGTAGATTGAGTCTCTGACAGATGGATCAAGGGAGTGAATGGGTGGGCTTTCTGAGGACGTCGAATGTGACGTACAATGCCGCTTTCTCTGCTCGATACTTGTAATTGAGGGAGAAAGGAGACGTGCTGGACAGCCGGTAGGCTCATATGTTCTCCGCCAGGTCTGCACCTTGCCCCCCTCCTGCTGCAGCAGACCAGGCAGTTCTTCCTAATTGGCGACATTTGAGACTCCATATTTAGTGAGCAATTGAGACTGAAAATAGCGTCGAGATTGCATGACAGCGGACACGTTCAAGTCATAATCCTTGACTGTCGCGTTATCTGAGGCCAATGTTGGGGAGGAAGTGGGGAGATTATCTGGGGTAAAGAAGAGACTCTTCACCTTGGGAAGGTTTGCAGGGTTTGCAGGGTTTGCATCTTGCTCATGAGCTCGAATAATTCCATTTCAAACTACTCGGTACCTCCGGTATTGGTTTCCGAATAGCATCACACTCATACGGTGTTAACATTTCACCTATTCCTATTCCTTGAAGGCTTAGAGGCACTTGGTGGGTCCATGCAATGGCGTGCCCCGTGGAGTCGAAGGCGCAATCGTCAGCCTGCCCCTTATCGATTGCCGGCCGTTGGATCCATCCATCACTTTTGTCAACAATCAACTTACGATCGACAAAACAGTGGACGGTGGACAGTGGACACAATCCCATTGCCACGGTCATCGGCTACGAAGCAGCAAGGCCACGCCGATCGGGATTTACCGCGATCGCACAAGGCCTCGCCTCGCTTCGAGTTGCATCTGCCAAGCAACCTCTCATGGCTTGCCCCGCAAAAACGTCGACATGATCGCGCGGCCGTCAACATTTTGACAACTCCTCGTCCGTGCCACCTGCTACGACCGCAAGATTTCTGGCTTGGTCATGCATTCGACTCGAATAGTGCCTGATGCATGCGACTGCAACTGCAACTGCCCCGGCACCCACAAGCAAGATGTCTTCCAGAGCCGGGATCACCAAGAAGGCCTGTGATGGATGCAAGATCCGCAAGATCAGATGCGGTGGGGGCCAGCCATGCCAGTCCTGCTTCAATGCGCGCATCAAGTGCACCTATATCCGTGTGCAGCAGCCTCGCGGTCCTCAGAAACTGCGCGCGACCACCAAATTCCTCATCGATCAAGCGCAAAGAGGCATGGAAATGCAGAATGCACTACCCTCGGCACCAGTGAGAGGGGAAGTGCTCGAGGCCGACCACGCGCTTCAGAACCCCGCAATTTGCGAACCCCAACACAGTTCAAGGTATGCTGCTCTTTTGCATCCACGCGCATCGCATTTACTCCGCTGCGTTGCGTTTCGCAGTATTATCCACGCGCGCCAAAGTCTAATATTATAATCATATGCGCATCTAGATCTCGAATTCCGATCAATATCCTCGCATCCCCACTGTACATATACCATGTTCGCATGTACCCGGTCTGGCCTATTGTCGATGTCGAAAAAGTCCTGTCTATCTTGCAGCAAGATGTGGAGGAAAAGGAGCATGAAACCTACGCCCTTGCAACTGCAGTAGCTGCCGCCACCATCGCTCAATTGCGGCTGGGACAAAATTCAGGGCCGGAGAAATCCCTGAGTGCGGAGAACTTTGCGCTCGAGAGCATGAGAGCACGACGGTTGTACGACTATCGATCGAGGCTCAATCTAAATAATGTGCGCACCGCCTTTTTTCTGCACGTCTACTACGAGAACCAACAGTCGGGGGCGAGTGAATCGTTACTCTATCTGCGAGAAGCTATCACTTTAGCACAAATGATGTCCCTTCACCGAGAAGCTTCGTATGCAGGACTACCGACGGAGGAGCAACAACTACGTCGTCGCGTCCTGTGGTTGCTATTTGTCACAGAACGGTGAGATTACCCCAGCATCCCTGAACGAACCGTGTCTGATATCCATATAGGGGAGTCTGCATCCTCCACAAGTTGCCCGTTATTCTGAAAACAAACGTCTCCACTCCAGCACTCGACACAAGCGATGAACCACAAGTTCTTCCCGCTTTCCTCAAATTGCTCAATCTTTTTCGCCTGTTTGAGCAGTCCCGGATGTTTGATCTCATTGAAGACGATAACGTCGGAAGAGACACGATTTCAGATGAGGTGCAGGGCGTTGATGCAAGGTTTCTACGGTTGCTGCAGGAGAATCTTCAGGACGGATCAGCATTATTAGACCACATATCGGACGTACAAAAGGCCGATCTGTGCGTGACGCGACACTGGATGCGGATGATACTCTGGAAGTTCTCTTTCAAACAGGGGCTTCAAGGTTCGCCTTCGTCCCAATGGCCGAACTCGCCTTCGTTCCCCGTGTTAGTAGCGAAGGAGCTCTTGAACATCGTCTCCCAGCTGCCACGAACGGCGATTGAAGCCCACGGCCTCGGCATGGTATGTACAGTACATCCACCGACATCCTAGAGCAGGGTCACTAAAACCACCACAGGAACTCAAGCTCTATGAAATCGCCAGCTCACTAGCCGACGCCGTAATCAATCTGGCCATGCTGCCGCGAGCCCCAGTCTGGGATGGCGAAACCCGCCCCAGCAGCATCCTGGCTCGACTCCACTCGATTCTCTCCACCTTCCGCGGCGGCGGCAATAAAGAACTAGCGGAGCTACTGTATAAGAAGATGGCGGATGCACAGTCTAGCAGTGGACCTGCATTACCGCCGCCGATACGCGAGGTACACACGCCAGTTAGAAGTAAAAGCACACCTCGCGCAGACACCAACAGTGGGGACAGCCCAGCCCCCGCACCGCCTGCATCGACCCTAGAAGACGTCTTCACGACGACTGCCGATCCCACGGCTCCAAGCACAGTGGCTGATTGGACCGCCGTGGACGACCTCTACCAAGCTACTGCCACTACTACGTTTCAGACCTTGGACCACAACCGTGCCCCCCACGGTGTGATGCCGGGGGAGCCAAGCGACATTAGTAGCCAGCATGCTCTCCACTCCTTAGGAGATCTGGCGGCGCCTTCTAACTTGTTTGGGTCGTCCTTCTCCGCGGGGCTGGGCTATGCAGCTGCCGCGGCCGCGGCCGCGTACGCCTATGACCCATACCTAGTAGGCATCCCCAACGCCCAGTCTCCGCTGCTATTGGAGGAGGGCCGAGAGCCACGACTGGGCGGCGGTTCCTCGTGGTCCCCGTCTCTGGTGCCGTCGGAGTCGGTGGAGATGTGGGTGGGCGATTTCATGGCCCAACCCGGCGGAGTTTTTCCGTCTGTGTCGTCGGAGCACTACTTCTGCATGACCGGGGACTTGCCCGAGCCACCACCCTTGTCGAGTCCGAGCTTTCCCGCCTGATCTTTCCCTTCCTATGACATGTATTTCTGTAACGATGAATGACACGTATATTATGAGTAAATATAAGACAAATAAACTCCCCACTCGCTTTCTCGCTTTCTCATAAGTCAGTAACAACAACCCGGGTGAGAATCAGGAACCCAGACAATCACCCCCCCAACCAACCCATTAATTATCATAAGCATAAGCAACAAGTAGTCTTTTCTTCGCGACATGAAACACACACAAACGTCGACCACAGCAGGGTATATACCAAAACCGGACTAGTATTTGAAGCGGAAGTCCAGCCGCTGGTTGCCCTCGCGCTCGCGCGCCGCCGTGTCCGCCTGGTAGCGCACGCGCTCCTCCGCCGACAGGAGGGCCCACTTCCGCTCCTTCTGCCGGTTGAGGTGGCGGAGGTACTCGCGCTGGGCGACGAAGACGGCCATGGAGAAGACGCAGAGGGCGACGAGGACCTTGTCGCCGGTGTAGTAGTAGGGGGAGTCGTTGGAGCGGTAGATTTCTAGTTATCATCATCACCCAGAAATCATTAGCAAAAATTCCGTACCAACAGTTTCTTACTGCGCCCTTGGTTTTTCTTTTGGGGGGTGTGTGGGTGTGTGTTTTGGGTGGAAAAAACCTACGCGACGAAATAATCGACCCAATCTGCACGATAACATTGTACGTGGCGGCGGTGATGGCGCGCTTCTTGACATCGAAGGTATTCTCGGAGATCCAGGCGGAGACGATCGGGTGGAAGTACGGGTACCCGGAGATCAGGGTGGTGATGGTGAAGCGGGCCCAGTTGTACCCCCCGGCGGGCAGGCACAGCAGGGCGATCAGCAGCGGCAGCGACCAGAACTCGCCGAAGAGGCTGTGCCAGGTGCGGTCGCCGAAGTACTCGCTGCTCTTGCACAGGGCCAGCATCAGGATGATCTGCAGCGCCGCGGAGGGGATCGACAGCATGTTCGACTCGAAGGTCGTGAAGCCCAGCCGCTTCAGGGTCAGGGACAGGTAGCTGGACACCGGGCTCTGGGGGATGTAGGCGACCAGGCCGATCAAGTACAGACCCCACATCGAGGGGTCCTTCCACGCCGAGACGATGTCGTGCAGCGTCGCGGATTCGTTGATGTGCGTGAGGCCTTTGGAGGGGTCGTCGCGGAGGAGGCGCTTTTTCGGATGGATTAGTGGGTTTGTTTGTTTGGGGGGATTGGGGGATGGGACGTACGTTAATCATGATCACTTCTTCACGTTCCGTGTACCAGTTCTTCGGGCAGAGGACGCTGGTCGTGTTGGTGGGCGAGCTGGGGAGGTAGAAGAGGCTCTGTTTGTGGGTTAGTTGTTGGGGGCTCTGGGGTTGTGGGGTTTCTGGGCTTGAAATGGAGAGGATGCTTACGAGGAATCCGATGGCAAAGGTGATGAGGCCGTCGATCAGGAACAGCCAGAACCAGCCCGGTTTGCCCTGCACTCCGCGCATCTCGAGAATGCCCGCGGCCAGCAGAGACGAGATGATACGGGCAACCTAGCTTCCCGGTCAGCTGAGTTTCACTTGTATATGATGAGAAGTTCGTACGTTGAGCGTGGACCAGAAGAATCCGAGACGCACGGAGAGCTCCTTCGTCTTGTAGAAGTAGGTCGCGAACAAGATGGTGCCAGGGATGAAGCCGCCCTCGAAGGCCCCGATGAGTGCGCGGGTCACGTAGAAGGCAGCCCGGTTGGTCATCCATGCTTGCGCCCAGGATACGGTACTCCAGCAGATCATCATCACGGGGAGAACCCGCTTGAAACCATATCTCTTGATGAGCAGCTGGACGGGGAATTCTGCGGACAAGAAGCACACTAGTTGGATCGTGGTTCCCTGCGGAAGTTAGAAGGGTGTGCTTGCTTGCTGCGGCCTGTAGGGTCTCACATTGTTGTAATCGTTACTCGACATGTTCAGATCGACCAGGAGGTTGTCCGTCAGCGCATTCGATAAATTGCCACGGTCCAGTTGGAGACCAAAGAACTATTCATGTCAGCATTCGCCACCTGATGGATATGGCAGCAAACATACCATGATGCAGAGAGCCGTGAGTAAGTACAAATCGGTCTTCCAGATCACTCGTCTCTCCTCTTGTTCAGTCCAGGTAGCGGTGGGATCGAATCGGTGAAAGCCTTCATACGACTCGTGGGGAGGCACGACGCCAGCGAGGTGCTCCTGTCCGACCTCGATCGACACCTTCGAGGACTGCGAGTCTTCGACATCGTGGGCTTTGATGGAGGAGCCCTTGAAGCCCGTTTCGATGTCTGTCATGATGTCTCTGGCAGGCCACGCCTTGCTGCTAAGAACGCAGAATCTCAAGAGACCGAAACAATGGGCGGGGATGGAAAACGTCTAGGGCTGGATGGTCTTCCATGGCCAAGGACTTATATACCATCGAAGTTCGTGGCGTTGATAAACGATAATTTATTCTCTGATGTCGTTATTCGCGATGACCATCGACAACAGGCCTTTGCTTGAGCCAACCACAGACATGGTGTTATTGTTACAGCCGTGTGTATGCATGCCCTGAATCCAGAATCGGACTAAGAGAATTGCACAAAACGGATCGCCGAGCACATCATCGCCGCCAGGGAGCCCCAGGCTGTGCGCTAGCCAGTTTTCTCTCGGAGAACCAAAGCTTTTCACCAATAGCCTCTTTCTCCGTATGATTCCGAGGAAAAGAAGAATCGAGCTAAAGTGAAGAAAAAATAATTAAATAAATGTTAAAACAATGTATGCTTGTTGTGACGGACTGTTAAACCCCACAGTTCACGGTGGTCGGTTGCAGAGGTTCTTGGGCGTAGGTTTCCCCGGATATTCCTTTTGCTTGTAAGTTAACGCACTGTCACCGCAGCCATTCCCACTGGTTGCCTGAGCGTGGTCTACCATGCTCTCCAGGTTTCGGAGCATTGCTCTTTGTAGATGTAGCACATGCACACCATAACGAACAAAGGGCCCCGTTGACAGCGCCTATTCGCTAATGATGGCGGTGTTGTTTGGCGAGACTAAGAAATGACAGAACACGGACCAAGAAGCCCTCCGAGAATTTCGCCGACGCCCCGCCGATAGCCATCCCGTTGGTCGCTGATTGGCATCACCCAGAGGCAAACCAATCGGGCATGATTAATGCGGGGAAAACGAGGGCGATGGGCCCACGAGGGACTTGACTCGTTTGTGCCTATGTGGCCCTGGAGCCGTACGGAAGATGCGACCAGGAGACTCCGCGGAAGATAACGAGCCAGTGCCTGTAAAAGAGGGTTCGCGTCGCGAGGTTGTCGCCATTCGTACTGCATGACCCGCAGCCCTCCACCGCGGTGGGGACGACTCGTTGACAACATACCACCGTGATCGCTGCTGCAGAATCGACGTAGACGTATTCCGTCGGCTATCCTAGTTTATATAAAGAGTCGGAAGCTTATCAGATCCCTTCGTCGGTTTTGCCACAAGCAAAAGTCCCGTTTTGTGCCCTTTCACCTCACACCAGCCTCTGCAACAGCCAGAACCGTCATCATGCCTGCTGTCGTTGAAAATGCCCCGGCTTCAACAATCAGGGGAGGCCATGAGCAGTCCCGACCGCGCATCTCCGAGCCACTCCAGTATTCCGGGTCTCTGGACTCGTATACCCGGCAAGACCTGACGCCGGTCATTGGTCGCGAGTACAAAGGTCTTCAGGTGGCAGATATCTTGAAGTCCGAGCAATGCGATCAGATCATCAGGGATCTCGCAGTAACCAGTATGACATGATCTCCGAAAGACTTGACCCGCTGATGCTGATGGGAACAGTCTCAAGCCGAGGTGTTGTTTTCCTGCGTGATCAGGACGTGACACCGCAGCAGATGCGCGAATTCGGAGAGAAGTTGACACACCTGGCTGGATGCGTAAGTACATACCCACCCATCCAAGTTTGAATATGAAACCTGAGAGGTCAGTGAGTCCGCCAAGAACACCTGACTGACTGGCCCCATCACAGCCCGAGTCGTCCGGACTGCACATCCACCCCCTGACGGAAGAAGGCAGCGAGCTGGGCGACCAGATCAGCGTGATCAGTAGCGAGAAGCAGAAGAAGGGGGGCGGTCTCACGCATCAGCTCAGCGACACGAGTCGTTTCGCGTCCGTAGGCTGGCACAGCGACATCAGTTTTGAGCCCGTCCCCTCCGACTACGCCATGCTGAAGATCCACACGCTCCCGGAGACGGGAGGCGATACCCTCTGGGCGTCGGGCTATGAGATCTATGATCGCCTGTCGCCCGCCATGGCGCAAATGCTGGAGGGGTTGACCGCGACGCACGACGCGACGTTCTTCCACGACGAGGCGCGGCGGTTGGGCAATCCGTTGCGGAAGGGAATTCGAGGCTCGCCCCTCAACCAGGGCGAGGGACTGACCGCCGTCCATCCCGTCATTCGCACGAACCGTACGTTCCTCCTCCGCCTTTCTTTGGAAATCTGCTTCATGCCCAGATCTCAATCTCTGACTTTTCGTCCATAGCTGTTACCGGCTGGAAGTCCGTGTATGTGAATAAGGGGTTCACAAAGCGCATCAATGGGGTCACCAAGGATGAATCCGACGTGTTGCTCGCCTATCTGTTCAATGTGAGTGTGGCCAGCAGACAGCTTCAGGAATGTGTGCCAGGTGGACTGACAGATCTACTTGTAGCTCATTACCCAAAACCACGACGCGCAGGTTCGCTTCCGGTGGAACAAGAATGATTTGGCCGTTTGGGATAACCGATCAACCTGGCACTGTGCCACATACGACTACGCAGAGGCTCGGGCTGGAGACCGGGTTTGCAGTCTGGGTGAAGCCCCGTACTTTGATACTCGCTCGAAGTCGAGGAAGCAGGCCTTGGGCGAGGCTTGATGCACTGGGTTAGGGTGCCCATCGGTAACGCTATAATGAATAATCAATACATCAATATAATCTTCAAAGACGCGCCAGACTCGAGACCTCGTAGTCTTCGCTAAAGAGAAGTGGCGCTCCTACGGACGTATTATAGGAGAGTTGAGACGAAATGGACCAAAATCAACATAGATTCCAAAAAGTAGAGCCTTCCAGAGCCTACCTGACAGAGACAATAGCTATCTAGCTAATGAAGATCACAAATATTCAAGTTCAGATCGTCTCAAACATGCTTGCTTATATAGTTAGTGCTCAAATAGCACTCCATAATCGTGACTCTATAGTCATTTTCCTCAAGTCGACTGGCCAGTTACTGTCTTGTTCAATCCCATATTTGACAAAGGCCTGCTTTGTCAGAGACATGATTAGAGATCAAAGTCAGGTCTAAGCCTGGCAAGGCTCACCCAGCTTCATGTAGTTCCAGCAGACTGTACAGCATCAGCATATAGAAAAGTGGGACTGGCACGGTCTGAGAGAGCACTTACTGCTGAAGCCCATGTCGTCACCAAACATGGTAGCGTAGGTCTTCGCACCGTCCTGCAGCCCACCCTCCGAGTCATATGCGACAGCGTTCTTACCCAGAGCAATAGCCATGACGGCCGGGTGCGGCTGCAGGTTGACAAACTCCGGCTTAGTGTTCAAAGCCTGTGCTATCATGCGCTGATGGACATTGGTGGCTGCGTAATGACCCTTGTGCATGGCAGCGCCACAGCGTTTGATCCCCGACCACGAAACAATATCGCCCACAGCAAAGTGGTCATCTGCGTTGGGAACATTGTCCGGAAATTGCAGGCTGGCCGGCAGTCAGTCAAGGCTCGATTGTATCGACTACAGGAGAAGAGGGACTTACGAGGGTCTGATCTTGACGAGTCCTTCCTCGTTCAATGCCTCTCTAGGCAGATAAGTGGAAGTCGCAACACTCTTCGAGACGGCGTTCATCACATGGCCAGCCGTGAGCTTGGTGCCGTCGGAGAGAGTAAGCTGCCAGACGCGGCGTCCTCCCTCCGTCTCAACAGCAGTGGTGTCGACAACGCGTTGTCCGAGGATGACTGTTACCCCCTGCTCGCGAAGGATAGTGCAGATGCGCTCTTTGAACGCATCAGGCAGAGGCTCGGCAGAAAGGAGGTGATCGCGAGAATGGATCAGGGTGATCTTCTGGTTGGGGTAAAGATCCTTCAACTCAGCGGCCATCTCAGCACCGACGGCACCTATAACTCATTAGCATTATTAGACACGGGGGCGGGGTGATGCGACAAGACTTACCCCCTCCAACCACCACCACGCCTTCCTTTGCGTTCTGGATGGCTTCAACATTCCTTTTTGTCTCTTCCAGGAACTCTTGACGCTCCAGGGACTGTGGTACCGTCGGGAAAGCGCGGCGTAATCCAGATGCAGCGATCAGGAAGTCGTACTTCTCTTCCCTCGATCGTCTCGTCTGGCTATCGAGGATCTGCGCCACCTTCCGCTGGCAGTCCACGGAGTGGACACTTCCCTGGATCCATTTGATGTCTGGAGTCTTCAAGGCAGGAATGTCCACAAATCTGTTCCAAGTCTTCGAGGCGTATTTCTCTGAGGCGAGTGCCTTGGGGGAGCCGATGAGGTGATCTGGAGTCATTCTTTGGATTAGTGGCTGTATGTTATAGAATAGAATCAGCGGTAAAACTACTGACAGTATCCATCCCTCTCGTCCACTAATGTGATCTGGATGGGTATGCGATGTTGAGGGGGCTGTGCATTGGGCGTAAAGTTGAAACGAGCGAGACGACCACGGCAGAGATCTATCAGCGTCATGGCTGACGCCAATCCACCGTAGGAGCCACCGACGATCAGAACGCGGAACTCGCGCGCAAGCGAGACAAGGCCCTCGTTGGACGGCATTGTGAGTGTGTCGTTCTAGTGACCTTTGGAGGTCTATCAATCTGATCTGAAGTAAGAGAGGGGAGGTAGAGGGGAGAGAGCCAATGTAGGAGAGTTGGCGGATTTGGTAGACACGGAAATTGAGTGAAAAAAAGGTAGCAAGGAGCAAAGGGGGCGCAGCCCATTCTTAAGAGTAACGCCATGATAACAAGAGTGTAACCAGCGACTTATCACCCGAGACCCGGGGACAGATGCCCAGAGACTGTGGGCCTGTTGGGGACATCTGTCACAAACGCGAACGTTCCCTTGTTGTATCGGCGGTGCCTGGACCAGACCGAAATGTTGTCTCGGGGATTTCGGCGGAGACCGAGGAAGAACTCTTCATCGAAAGCAATCTGAGGAAACTGCTTAGTGAGGTCGATTTCTCATAGTAAAGAGCTCCGGGACTCCAAGTTCAGAAAAGAATATCCCAGTGACACAGGCTCGATCGAAATCGGATGACTACGGATACCAAGTTACAAGAAGCCGGATGGTTGTTTTCCGTCTCTTTGATCCATCTTATCAGATTGGCGCCAAGTGGCGCGACCGGGTCCTGGCTGCATCGCGCCCAATCACTGGTCGCCGGAGCAGCCAGAATGCCGGAGACTCATCTGAACCTGTGACCAATGTGGAATAGAAAACGCACATTTGACAAATTCATTTAGAGACACAACCAATCGATTCTTAGAAGAGTTGGTAAAGTGGATCACACACGCACAAAGACAGAAACCTCTCTGAATCCCGTTCCGTTTATCTGATCCGTCCCTCACCGGTCGGAAGTGAGGGGGTTTCTGACTGCCCATCAACTGCAAAATTCCTACTGCTTTTGAATACTAATGCAAGACTGGCGTCATGCCTTCCATACTATTCCCTTATGCAGTTCTTCTTGAATGAAAATGGGTTAAATGGGAAGATTGGATAGATTATGCCCTACTCTTCAAGGTCTAAGCATCATGCCAGGGAAGATATACTGGGTAACAACCCCGTTATATATTTGTATCGCGGAGCCACATAGTGCAAGTTGATGATACTAGTACAGAGCCTTCATAATTCTAGGTAGAAAATAGTCTAGACTGTTAATTCCAGCCATTGCGCATTCAAGGATCCATACTCAGAAACAATCACAAGCACAGGCTTCTGTTATAGAAATCTATGACGGTGGGTAGTAAGTTGAAACCTGCGGGGGATGTTTCTAATTTTAGTATGACTATGGTGAGTTTTAACTACTTGAATCAAGGCCTACCAGAATGAATAATGTATAAGTAGCAAACCACATTCAGCATGTTACCTTTACTCAGAAAGTACGAGGATTTGACAAATTTTGCCCCTATAGTGATTAGTCAAAAGGATCCGCTTGAACCATTGAGATATAGGTGTAGTAGACGAGCAAAGCAATAAATTTGAAGAGGGAGTCACATTTCAAATAACATCAAGAGCTGAATAGTTTCTATGTAAGCCGTGATGCAGAAGTTCGCAACTCATATAAACTGTATCAGACATGCGACAACATTTGGACTGCACAGCATGCAGAATCTTATCAGATGATCTAATCAGATAAGCATGGTGCCGATAATCGGAGAAACCTCAGGCCGAAGCGAAAGGCTGGCCGGGCAGTGCTTGGCCTGAACAGTGGCCTGAGGCCGAGAGCCGTGGCGCGATGCGCGCGTCTGGCACGGAGCGCTACCGGGATCAGGGATGAGTGAGAAAAATCATGCGCTCAAACCCCCGAGCTCATCTAGCACCGTCTACCAATCTGCTTACTTCTAAATAATCACTCTCGAATTCGGATGCTACAGATTGGATAATCCTGAAATCTTGCCCCCCCACTTTCACCTCACAACCTTTTGGAAAATGTGATCAATGCCCAATGGCTTCGCGTGGTACCCGTTTGGATCCACTGCAAGTCATGCTGACCAGACACCATTTATGCATATCCTTGGAAGTTCCTGCGTGAGCAAAGTACTTGCCGCGCAACAATAGTAAATTATATCTTCTCGTTCCTGTGGCCACCTGTGTTCCCTAAACATCATTCTTTCTACCATCCTAAGAGTTATCTCTCCTGCTGTCGAGCAAGTCAGCGTCGCGGTCATCCTCTGCAGGTGCGTGACTTGTACCCCGCTTCGGACATTTCAAATCAATGGCAACCGCCCTTCCGCAAGATGAGGGGCACAACGCCTCGTTGACAACGACCTCTGCAACACACAATGCTCTCGATTCAGCCATGCCTCTTGTTTCTATCCCGACTACCAAGCTTCCTGCTCTGGATACAGTCGATCAGTACGCAGTCGACAATCCTTCGCAGAGCTCAGTAGTCCTGAGCTCCCGCGTCGAGCTTGCTTGCGATACAAATTTCCAAGCGGTTGCAAGTGACCTCGTTCAAGGATACGCTCACTTTATCTCGAGCTTCACAGGTCTGGATGAGATCGCATTCTTTGTCGCACGTCATTCAACCGCCATCTCTGGTCCACAGAAAGAGCGCGGAGTGGTCTGTGCTTCTGTACTTCGGGAAGCCGATGGTCAGCGCTGCACCATCGAAGAGGTGGACGAGCAGTATCATGACGCTGATGAAGTCCACTTCTGTCTGGCTTTGGGACTCTGCGAAGAACTTGAAAATAGCGAGCAACATCCCTTTTCTAAGGGTACTGCAAATGTGGGTTCCCTGTTACTTGCCTTTGACTGTCACCACAGCGTCTTACTGATCGACCCGCAGAATTTCACGCTATACGTGGGGCCTGCCATCACCGCTGCTACCATCCAGATCTGCTTTACCTATCCCGACCGACTGATTCCCGTAATTGCAGTGGATCAGCTGCTCAGGACTATTGCCGCTCACCTGGCGGAATCGTCTTTGTCATTGGCCTTCGAGGCCTCCCCTCCCGAGCTTTCTGTTATGAATTTCCCTCCATCTATGATACCCCCTTCACGACGCCATGATTGGAATGATTTTACTGATTCTACGATACCCCAACAACATCTTATCCACGCTGCGTTCGAGGGCTGGGCCCGGACAAAGCCTGATGCCATAGCCCTCGATTTCGTTCATTCTTTGCCTTCTGCAACTTGTTCTGCAAAGCACAGCATTCTCACTTATTCTGACCTCGACCAAGCCGCCACTAATCTCGCTGTACATATCAGGGGCCTGCTGGCGGCCCGCGATGCTGCCGATTGTGGGCGAATTATCCCTGTGTATATGACGACATCGCCCGAACTGTACATTTCATACCTTGGCATATTGAAAGCCGGGTTTGCATTTTCTCCTATTCCACAGGATGCTCCGGTGGAGAGGATACGTGAAATTCTTCAGGACATAGGCTGTCCTATCATTCTGGGTAATATACCCGAGCCATCTTTTGGGCCTTGGTCTCCTGATGAGCGTGGTGAAGATGAGCGCATGCCCGCATGGGTCAACGTAAGGCAAGTTTCCAAATGGGAGGGGCTGATTGATCGTACTCAATCTTCACAAGCTGAGAGTGTCCTTGAGAAAGTGGATATCCAGGATGACCAAATCGCCTATCTCCTCTTTACCAGTGGATCTACGGGGAAGCCGAAAGGTGTGCAAGTAAGCCATCTTGCAGTCACCTGTTCAATAGAGTCCCATGCTACGGCTATCCCGCTCCCTGGTAATCTCGAAGGTGATTTTCGTTGGTTTCAATTTGCTTCCCCAACGTTCGATCCGTCTCTCATGGAGATCTTCGTCACCTTGAGTACCGGAGCTACTCTCTGCGCAGCTGATCGAAGCCTGACATTGACTGATCTCGAAGCCACCATCAACGAAGCAAGAGCGACCATCATGATGGCTACGCCGAGTTTGGCCGCACTCTTGCGACCTTCCCGGTTAAATACCCTTCAAGCGCTCTGGACGATGGGCGAGAAGCTCAATAGGACAGTCATCGCAAACTTCTCAACAACTTCACTCGATGAACCGCATAGAATGTTGGTTAATGCATATGGACCCACTGAGGCTGCCATTAATTGCACCTATTTGGCACCAGTTGGTCGCTCGGTTCGGGGCTCAATCATTGGCAAAGCGCTTCCAACTTGCGCGATGTTTGTCTTAGACCCCAACAGTCATGAACCAAGACCGATCGCAGCGGGTCTTGCTGGTGAGCTGGCAATAGGAGGTCCGCAAGTCAGCAAGGGATATCTGAACCGCCCGAACGAAACTGCGAAGGCCTTTGTGAACAGCGCAGAATTCGGGTACTTGTATCGTACTGGGGACATGGCGCGCATCGTCTGGGACGAATCCGGCTGTCCAGTGATTGAATTTCTCGGTCGGATAACATCAGATCAGGTGAAAATCAGCGGCCGCCGGCTTGAACTTGGCGAGATTGAGTCGGTTCTGTCTACAATCCCTGGAGTGACAGAAGCTGTGGCCGTGGTACTCAAACGCGACGTTGATGTACAGGGAAGTGAGCAAATAGTGGCATGTCTGGTTGTGAACAATGGCGACGCGAGTGCTGTCGAGAAACAGACGATAACAAATGAGGCACACAACAAAGCGCAGCGATACCTATCCAATTACATGTGCCCCTCTGCATATGCTTTCTTCCCCAGCCTTCCCCGATCGAGCTCCGGCAAGGTTGACCGCAAAGCAATCTCGGCCCAACTTCGAGAATCAGGCAAGAGTGATTTTCAGTTGTACACCCCACAGGAGCCTGTTCGAGACACTACGAATGGTGTACAGAATCAGTGGGAAATTTCGGGGGACGAGAATCTATTGTCCATACAACAGCTTGTGATTGAACTTATCGCTCAGACAACAGATGAGGATATTGCTGCTATCATGCCCGATGCTGGTCTGTATTCTCTTGGAATTGACAGCCTCGGCGCAATGCGCCTTCTGCAGAAGTTACGGGATCATGATCTTGATGGCCTCTCTGTCGGCGACGTGTTGCAGTCACAGACGCCGGAAGCTCTAGTTTCCCTCGTCTTTCAGCGTTGTCAGATGGCGGACAAGGTAGACACTAACGGAATCCACGACCCGCTCCATCAGAAACTTGAAGAATTCCGTCAACGAAATGCATTCATATGTGCAGAAAGACTAGACTTGACGCCGAATCAAGTTGCCAGAGTTCTTCCGACAACAGCAACGCAATCAGGCATGCTAACCAGTTTTCTGCGTAGCTCATCTGATAAGACATCTGCGGCTCGCTCGTACATTTACCACACTGTCCTGCGGCTCGAACCTGATGTCGACTTGCCCAAGATTCAGCAGGCTTGGGATACGGTCCTTTCCAGCTATGATTCCTTCCGCACAGTATTTTGTTGGGTTGACGATGATATGGCCCCATTCGCCCAATGCATTCTTGCTCCTGAAGCAGTGCCCCGCGCTGATTGGGCTGTCTATCAAGTTCCCGAGACTGTCTCGAACGAGGCGGCTCTGCAAACTGCACTCTGCGATGCCGAAGAGGCCATTGATCTTAGCAAACCGCCTTTTCGGTTGTCTCTGGTCAATAGTCAC